CAGCAACATATTTCTATATACAAAACTTTTTAAATAAAAGTTCAGAGCTGCCGCCAAAACTAGACAAAAATATAAGAAATAGCAGCAAATAAAATAACTGTAATATTTTCTTCTTAGGGTTCAAGACAAAAACACAAAACGAAATGAAATAAATTGTTGTTGGATACTTTGTGGCAATACGCTCAACATTCCAACATATACACATACATATACGGACAGAGGGGAAAAAAGCAGACTGTCCATAAGAGTGTGAAATATTTACGATGCTGGCCAAAACTCAAACGTTATGGAAGCTGTTGCTGGGCTGACGAAGACACAGTAAAACAATTTTCATTACGAAAACACAAGGAATAAACGCAAACAGACGATGTTAAGATATTTCAGTTGGCGGGCTCTTTACAAACAATAGACTAACAATTTTAATTTTCGTAAATAGTAGGAATGAAATAACAACTTATTAATTCTATTTATAGATTTTAATTTTTATTGAGTGTAAAAATAATTTTTAAAATACCAATAAAAACAATTTAATTAATCTACAAATTAATCTATTAAATACAAGGGTATATATAGTTCAAAGAATCATGATAAATTGAAACTCGTCCGATGGTAGGCTTAAAGAAATCATTTTAGTGTGGAGAGAGCCAATTGTGTCGGAAGTTAATTGGCAAAAACAGTTTTGTTAAACGAAAACCGTTTATGGGATGTAAAAAGCAAATAAATCAATACAAAAAATCTAATTGTGAGGAAATGCAAAGAATGGATAAATAACAAACACTGCAATATGTTGGGCCAATAATGGAGAATTAATAGAAAAACAAAAAGACAATTTGATTAAGCTGCAAGCTAATCAAAACTGAATAATATTATTTTAAGATTTAAGTCAAATTTTTCAATTATACAAAAATATAAAGATCCGCTTTCCACTTAATTTATGCTTTTATGCTTTTTTCTTTTTTTAATACAATCATGACCTAAAATTAATTATGCGTAACAATTGACTCAACCATATCCATTTTAACCAATGTTTGATGTCAACATTTTAAAGCTATTAAGAAAAGGCTGCACGAAAAGAGAATTATCACAAAATGGCTTGCAGGTACAAAAATATAGATCATGTATTTGTTCTGCTTTCTTTTTATACCTATTCGTCCAGCATCATAGTAAACACTTTCTTTTATTTAATCTACTGAGCCCATTAAGATGGCATATCAAGTATTTTTATTGCCACTCGGCTTCTTAAAATTTATGACACGGTATGGTTGGTTATATTGAAAAAAAAAATTCAAGCAGGCACTTGAAAATGTCTCTTTTTTCATAAAATATGAAATTCCCCTTGCAAAAATAATAAATTTCGAGCTGTGCACACACTTCACCCTTTTTTGTGAGCCCCAAATATTGTCCTTAATTTGCCTGGCCAAGCAAATGTATGCAATATTTTACATTTCCCTTTCTCTGCATATGTAAGCGTTTGTTATGAATATAACCGCGCATGGCATAAATGGACAAATCGCCGGCGGAAATTCCGATTTGTCGATTTGTCATGTCAGTGCAAGCTTCGAGTGCCAATGCATTGTGTCAGCCCAACAATTGATGCTGGTCAATAGCACAGAGTATTTGTAGCAATCAGTCAGGAGACTTAAATGGGACAAACAATCGGAATACAACAAAAAGGACACACAAATAATACCATTAATATTTTATCGTTATTACTATGCAAAGCTATCGAACAAAGGCAGGCTAAACTTTTTATGCGACAGCTTCCGGGCAATAGAAAATGCGGAATTAAATGCAAACAAACCCACACACACTCATATACACCCCCGAACACTCCATGCCTGCACACAGACAGGCAACAATGGCCACAATAGTGTGGACCATGATGCAAAAAAATATGGGTCGATGCAAAAACAACGACAATAACAAAAGCAACAATAGCGAAGGCTGAGTAGCGAAATGGATTAATAATTCAATTAGTTTGCACAAAATATAGCTGCATAACGCGGCGTGTACGTAATATAAAGCTAGAGTATTATGCAAACATAGAAGAGCCGTCTACACAATGCACTTGTGTGGAAGATTTATGAGTTTGTTTTGTAAATAAATAAAAAGACGCATGCAAATCTCAGACAATGAATGCCTGAGCTTCTATCATCAGGGGCTAATGCACCATAATGTTGCAAAACAAGTGGGACAAATTACAATAAAATATAACTTGTATATATGCCCATCTAAAAGCCATAGAATTGAACAAGTGTCTAGCTGCTAACAACACCCCCGAGATTGCACAGACATAGACAGACATGAATTTCGAGTGAGCTTTGATAAAGGCCAATACTTTTTGCGAAGTACGCCCGATGATAAATGATGCCGATAAATAAAGTTAAACGGATGCGACCGTTTGCTAAGATAAATAAATCATAAATAAGTATACGACTCTTTCTTTTCTAAAACATAATCGTAATTTCATAAACTTAACCAAAACCAATCCTCGAACAATTAAGTTGTACAATATACTATCAATTAAAGGGAAAATTGAAGTTCTTATAATTTAGTTACATTCTTCTTACATTCTATTTCGATAGCTGCAGCTTGAAGTCACAAATTTTAATAAGCGAACAAAATGTTGAATGCTTTTCATTAAAGATTAATGCCTTTAATTGATTTTCCAAACTTACTTATTTAGTTTAGTCAACTTTTCTGAGATTTAAAGCTGGTGTTTTTTAACTCCTCGAAAATTCGTGGAAATTTGAGAGAACATGTTTAAAATGAATGACTGATAAATATTGAATAAATAATGCCTGCTGGCAACCATGTTTTCAATAAAAGCTTCGAAATTGGCACAAAGTTATAAAATTGTTGCTAAAACAAATATATCTAATAATCACGCAATAAAATATAAATACTGCTTTTGATTCAGTATAAAATACATGCGGACTCTTGCATTGCTCTCTAATACATTCTTAGAAATAAAGGAGGGACGCATACGTAGATATCGAAAATGGTTTTTGCCAATAACTTTCCAAGACAATAACAATTCATAAACTAAGACATCAATTGGCCGAGCTATTTATTTTCCAAAACTATTCCTCTCAAACAGTTTCTTAAGTAATATAAGCTAAATTATTTCTGCAGAAGCTTATGTTTTCCAAATAAGTTTTTAATAGAAAATAATTTTGAAAAATCACACTTTAAAATGAAAATATAAAAATATATAAAATATATCTTTCCCAGCATCAACATGATTATTATTGAATTAAAAAAATAAAAACAATTCAATCAATTCAATTCTATCACATACAGGTTTTAATGAGCGCAAATACTTGTATTTTCCTTTTGTGACCTGCATGGTGTCGCGTCATGACGAGAAGTTATAAATTAGTTAAAAGTCTATTTATGCGGAAAATGTGTAACGACATCGTTGCTCCTTAACTAGCTGCATGGTTGTATGGGTGTATGTGTTTATGTGGTCATTGCTCGTGTTCAGCGCTGAACACGCGACCCGCAGCTGTTGTTGTGCTTGCCAGCTGCCAGCAGGATCTAAGCGTTTCTCTTCCTGCTGCACGCCAACTTGCGGGCTTACTTACATGCTACTCATTATTCACATTCGATTGAAAGTTGAACGTGCGAACAGGATAGTGCTTAAGTTTTGCGTCGTATTGCGGAATACAGGGTATAGAACATTTATATGCGTATCGACGTTTGGTCTACCCTTAAACTAGCCAGGCACGTAAATTTTTCGTATGCCGAAAGTATAAAGTTTTATGTACATGGACGCATTTATTTCAATGCCCCCCCCCCCCTCCTCTGTATACAATTCCTGTCTATGGCACGCGAGCCACTGAGACTTTTTGCACGCTTTTTAAACATCTACCAAGTGAAAACTGGATAATATAGTACACCTACATACATGTATTTAGGTGTGAGTTTGTGCGTGCATACATGTATTTGTATGGAAAAGTTTCCCATGTGCGTGTGCTGCTAATGAGTTTCGCATTAATTTCCATTTGGGTAAGTGAGAAAAATTGTATGTTATTTGAATAAATGAAATAAGAAGTAGTTCGTCTTTGCAAAGATTTTTTTTTTTTGAAACTGTGGAAATGTCATTAAAAAAGTTCAGAAAAACAAAACAAACACCGATCGAAGAACAATATGCAGAGCAATACTTTCAAAACTGGTAGCCAAAACGAGTAATCCGCAAACAATAATTGCAATATATTGGTTGAAAGATTACCATTACCGAAAATCGTAAATTTAAAACGTTATACTTAAATGAAGGAAGAATTGACAACGTTGCGTATGAGTAATGGCATTTTGAATCGGTTAGAATATCCGTTTTCTTAAAGAATTTTATTTCAATTAAATCAATATACTTAGTATGGGCTATTTTTGTAACAACAAATAATACTATTCTTTTTAATAAAAATAATAAGCTTTCAAAGAGAAACGTGTAATAATAAAACGTACAATACGTACAATAATAAGTCTCCAAAAATAATGGCATTGCTCGAAGCTTTGTAGTTTCCTTCCATCACAAATGCAAGCCTTTATGACGAATTTCTGTAGGAATTTTTCATTTTCCAGCTAGCTCACAAATCTGTACCTTGATATTGTCTTCAAAGCTCAACAGGAGCTGATGTTAAAATAGTGAAAATATTTATTACACATACGCACCATAAACCACAGGCAAAAACATACAAAGTCAAGGAATATGGCCGTAATAAAAGAAAAACTGCAAAGCACTCCCACTCGCCGATCTCAAGTAGTGTAACAATATATTACAACAACGTCTACCTTTAACTTCATTGTGTTTCTTGTGTGGCTGGCTGGGAAAATTTAACGAGCGCGCAACAGACATAAAGCAGCCAGCGAATCAATGCCATGCCAATGAGGCCACATAAATTCATATTGGGGGTGCCCGAACTGGGGCAGCCAGCACTCAATAGAGGTTGCATGCCACTCACACTCACGCGCACTACTCCCATTACTTGCTTACTCACCGTGGTGCCGTCATAGCCATTTGTCAGCAGTTGTATGTCGATTTCAAAGTCCAGGTCCACTTTGGCTGTTGTTAGCTGCAGCGGTAAGTGATCGGCGGCTAACAGTAGTGTGCTGTGATTGTGATTACTGATGCTGCTGCTGCTGCTGTTGCTACTGCTGACACTGCCACTGCCGGCGGTAAATTTAGTTGCGGCAAGTAGTAGACTGCTGCTGGCATTGCTATGGCCAGAACCGAGGTGCCTGCTGCCATTTACCGCTGTTGCTGCTGTTGCTGCCACCGACGTGGCGACTGTTGCTGCTGTAGTTGTTGCTGCCGCAGTTGCAGCAATTGTTGCTGCCAATGCAGCGATGGCCGTGGTGGCCGTTACGGCTGCTGCGCTCACAGCATTTGTCATTTTTGGTGCGCGAATTTGGAGAGGGATTTGCGGAACTTTAATGTCCAATCGGGTGGTCAAGGTGGAGGAGGGGTAATAGGAGGGGTTCGGGATGTTAGAAAGTGCAACAATAAGGGTTTCACGTATTCACACTCCGCTCTCTAATCGAATCTTAATTTGTGGTTGAATAAGAAAATTCTGTTGCAACTGCGACGTTGCATTTTTGTTGTTTTTGGGCTCGAAACTCGACTTAAATAATTTCCGCACACGTTATATTTTATACGCAGGTATGTACGAGTATGTTTTAATAGCTAAGCAAATATTCAGTTGGTCTATAGCCGACCATTTGTCGTTGTTGTTGTTGTTGTTGCTGCTGCTGCTGCTGCTACTGCTTCAAGTTATTTTTATACATGAGCTGCACGTTGCAAATTTCCATTTTCCAACTGCCAGACGATTGCCTAGCCATACGCTTCTAAAGTAAGGCATGGTACATAAACCGACAAGAAGAAACAACAAAAACGCAATCTGAACAACAATTGCGCCAGAAAAACAAACACATATCTACATACTCGTACATGTGTCCATGTACATGTATATGTGACTGTGCAACTCGTTTCCCAAACGGAAATTGCAAATTTTCGGCAACATTTTTCTCGTTTCTTCTCCTGCTCGCCATTCATTTATAATGCATTGCGCACATGGCTTGGAGTCAGGCATTAAATGCCAAATGCAAAATGCACAGCAATTTAAATTTTCTTGCCGATCAGAAACACCTATACTTGTACATATATTCATCCTATTTTTCTTTTTAATTCTAGCAACGTAATGCAAAAGGCTAGCAAATAAGCGTGAACATACAATGTACAAGAAATTGGCTGGTCACGCAAATTGGCAGTCAAATTTCTTGTTGCATGAAAAGCTGCAGCAACAACCGTGGCACACAGCGCCTAGAAGGCGACTTCACAATAATACAAATTTCTTATTTCTTCATCCACAACTCCACACTTTTATTTGTTTTAACTTATTTCATAATTAGTTTCACGCACAATCCCACTCACGTTCAACGCTGATCTTAAGCCATGTAGGTGGACACGAGCATTTGCCGACGCGCGTGTAAGTTTTGTTGCTGTTGTTGCTGCTGTTGTACCTGCTGCCGAGCCGAACCGTGCGATTGGAAAGCTAAACGTTGACTGAAGCCTAGCCATTTGGGCAGGTTGGCTCTGGCTTGCTGGCTGGCTGGCTGGCTGGCGGGCTGGCTGACTGGCCGGCGGACAGCCGAGCGACGAAAGTTGGCGTCGGTAGCTGTGCGATTATTTGCCAATGCCGTAAAGTATGCAACAAATTTCAAGCGATTTCATACGCGACTGATTGTCTGTGGGAAATTAAAGCCGCGAAGGCTGCCGATTCAACAGGATGCGTCGGAGCGTAGGCGAAATATGTGCGCAGCGCAGACCGAGCTTTTGAGAGAGAGGCCGAGAGAGAGCGAGGATGCACGCACACACCTGTTGTACTCTATGCCTCCATGCTTGATAGCGTTTTGTGCGCGTTTCTTGCGCGACTTTCGTGCGGTTTTTATAGCATCACCTTCAATTTAGCCTCATTATCGCACCAGAGTGACAGCGTCAAGTGCATGTAATGAAATGAAATTGTTGCACTGACAAATTGCAAGCAACCGCCAGTCAGTGCCACTCGGTGATTTTCCAATTTCCCAAATTGTCACTCTTTTTGTGGGCTTGTCTTTATTTCGTCTAACCTGAGTTGCATTTGTTTTGGCACTGTATTGTGAGTTTTGATTTAATCTTAACATAAATAACTAACAAACTACTACTTGCTACAATTAATGGGTATGCGTTTTCATATTTTCAGTACCACATGCTCGCCCGTACCCATTGTATGTGCTTGGCCAGATCACAGTAGATGACGGGCTTGCTTAGATCGCAGCCTTGGGCGCGCGTCTGACCGGCAGACACAATGCCACGCAACACCCAAACATTGTTCTCGTTGAGCATTAGACCACTGCCTGAGTCGCCAGTGCACGGACCCGCTCCGACTTTATTCTCAGCACATATCGTGCGTGGCGTCACGCGCCGCGTTGGCAGTCGACGCAGGCAATCCGATTCGCTGAGTATATCAGTGTCTGTCATTTTGGCTATCTTTGTGTTGGCATTTCCATCCTGATCGGCGCCCCAACCAGCAACATAAGACTTCTCCCCCGTTGGCAAGTCCAGCCGATAATTCTCGTTCCACAGACAAATGGGCTTAATAAACTCCGTGAAGCTATAATGGTAATAATTTAAAATAGAAATTACTTTTAATACAAAATTTTGGTTTATAGTAATACCATTTTCTTAGACCTTCTTTGAAAGCTTTTTTCTCTGTTGTAATAAGAATGATGTACAACAAAAATATGCTCTCTCTCTTCTTGGAATAATGGGTCAAAGAATAAATAAACTTAATTTACACATTGGAAGAATATGACAGTCAAAAGTAAACCCAAAAATTATAAAAGTGAGCATATGGTTCGTCACAAAGGCGCTAAAAGCGACAAAAATTCATAGTAAAATATCGGAATGAACACAAAATGTAGTTACATTGATCACGATTTTATAAAATATTGCCGATGAGTATTCAAAGACTATATGTATGTCATAAATACGTAGGTCATGGAGACTACATAAAAACCCCAAAAGCGAATAAATTACCGCACTTCTTAAGTATCTATTTAAGAGTCAATATCCCATGGCGCTTTTTTTTTTTTGTATCTCTCCGCTATAGACTACCCGCATCCAGTTCTGAATCATTATGTTATCTTTGGTGTTTAAAAATTGATTTGTTTTCTTTTTTTTATTACTTACGTCACACGCTCCACCAGCTTCAATAACGCAATATCCGCATCCGAAAAGTTATCACTTTGGTACTCCTCATGCTGAACAATCACCTCGATCTCACTTAACACCCCGTTTTTGTAGTCATCGAGACTGACGCGACCCAGCGAGACGATAGTGCGGCTAGCAGGTAGATTATTTTTAAGTCGGAAGCAATGCGCCGCTGACACCACAGTCGATTGAGAGAGCAGCGTGCCACCGCAGAAGTACACGAGTCCATTGGTCTGCTTTTCGAATATGGCCGCCATCCAGGGCAGCTTTCCGTGAGCCACGTTTGTGCCGTGAAAGATGAAAGGTGAAATGGTGGGGGTCTCACGCCCGCAGACCGCATTAAGCTGAGCCTGGTTTGTAATGGCAGTGGGGCGTTGCCTTGGGGCCGCTGTGGCCGGTATAGGAGCAGCTGTGGGTGCAGGTTGTGGTTGTGGTCGTGGCTGCGGTTGCGGTTGCAGCTGAGGCTGACGTTGTGGCTGAGGTTGTTGTTGAAACGATGGCTGAACGATCACAGACTGCTGAGCTGGTCTCTGTACGATCTGTGGAGGCTGTGTAGCCTGCGGTCGCGCCGGAGCTGGACGAACCGGAATGGTAATTGTATTACTATTACCACGCAATGGCGACGCCTGAAAGCGTAGTGTGTGTGTCAGGGAGATGAGTGTGTTTGGCGGTGGATCTGTAAAATAGGCGATTCAATTTTACCCAGACCGATTGAAGAGCTCGATTATTGCTTACATGGAGATGCATAACAGATAACTGCATTGTTTAGATATATTTGCGTTAGTTTTGGCAAAACACCAGGCGTTGGGAAGTCAACACGATATTGTATTGGTATGCCGTTGGCCAAATTATATTTCGTCGTTTCTTCATCTTGCAAAAGCGAAAGACGCCCAACGTAAGCCTGAAATAAAATAGAAGAAAACGATGTATAAGCGTTGCTATATTCATAATTGTGTTGTAGTGAGGAATAAATCGAATCAGTTACTAGTTAATTGTTAAATGGCCAGAATATGTTAAAATGCGGAAGCTGTAGCTGAGATTAGAGCAAGGAAAGAAAGGCCAAAAGAGGATACAAAATATGGAAATGTTTTCCAAAATGAGAAATCAAATCGCTATTTTCGAAACAATTTTTATTTAGGAACTGCATTCATTTAATTACAAGCTGGAATGAGAAGTGGGCTTTACCAACTAATGGAGCATATCTCTAAATAAAATACTTTCTCTCAAAGGGAGTTTTTGTCGATAATTAATATGCGATGGTGCGTCGAGTATGAGAGCAAGGCTTTACATCTGGCTCGTTCAATTCACAATCTGGTTTCTCCAATAAAAGATTAAGAAATATCGGAATAAATCTAAATAAAGTTTCTAAAAGTTGATAGAGAATTTCTTAGAGGCTGTTCAAAAAGTTTGGGTCATTAAAGGCATTAGTTTTTACATTAGTCTAATTGGCCAAACTGGGCTAGACAAGCTTTGATATCGTCTCTAAGTAAACAGTTTCTGGATAAGCTGCGACGATAAGAATATTCTGCCCTGTTCTGCACCTGCTGCTAATTTGTCTCGCTATTTCAAACCAAGTTCTTTAACTGAACAACAGTTCCTTAACTCAACTTTATTCAGACGATCAACAGTTGGCTTATCCAAACTTTGTCTAATCCAGACAGGGCCTCAAACTAACCACTTCACCTTGTATTTTTATTGTGTTTGAAGAACAATGTTATGCATCAAGAATATATAAAAAGCAAAAAGGGTCAGCGAATAATTTAAACAATGTTTAAAAATGACTTGTTATATTTATTCCATGTTTTAAATAGCTTGCCTCAAATATTCATATCTAAAACTTACTTCAAAGATAGTTAAATGTATGAACAAGAAATACTGGATGTTACTCTGGAAATGCTCTTTTAATTATCTCTCACATCTAAAATTTGCCACTGTTTAAAATAAAAATTACGAACAGATTAGCTTTGAAATACATTTTTATTAGCACTATCAACTGCCATTTATTGCTGCGAGTTCGTGTATCTTTGAGTTTTTTTCATTACTTAATATTCATGAATTCTAGATATGAGCACTATGGCCACTATTGGCAACATGCCATAAATTTCTTCGATGGCTATTATGCTTAACCTTCGCCTGCGTCAATGGGTTATATTCTTCATATAAATGTCACATTACGAGTATCTGGTAAAAACCAAGAATACAAGCTTGCGGTTTTTACTAAAATACAAAACACAACCAACATTAATATAATTACCAAAACAAAAGCCAAGAAACCTGTTGCACTGCTTGACATCGCTGCTATATCTCTAGCCGAGTCAAAAAAATAAACAGAATAAAACCGGAAAGCTGAGCGCGTCTCTTCTGATTTCAAATTTTGTACTATCATGATTTAATTTTGTGTTCGAGAATTTACGAACACTATTTTTTTGTAAAGAAAAATTTCAACTCAACTCAGGGCACAGCTGAGAGCACACAAGAGCTCTTAAGTCAATCAAGACCTCACTGACAACTACTCAGAATATTTTCAGTGTTTATACAGTTAATTAACAGGCTTAACTCTTATTGTGCGTATAAATAGAAGAAGCTGCTTGGACAACAGCGAATTGTCAATTGGGAGACGCACTGCAGCTGTGATTGTTGCGGAAAAACCGCAGGCCAGAGCTGAGGGTCAATACGAATATGTCTAACTGATAAGAATGCAATGGAGTGCGAGCAACAAACGTATGTTCACACATGGCCCTGACTGACCAATGCCAGCGGGAAAATAAACATTAACGCAACTGATGCTGACGTGAGCTATAACTCATTTTTTCCCAGGGGAATTCACACGACACGACGTCGCGCAGATTTCGTCAAAGAACAAAAAAGAATCCAACACTTGTTGTACTCACCGAATTGATGGGCGTGCGTTGCGAAAACTCCACAAATATTGTATTATTGCCGTAACGTGGATCGTGTGGTAGAGTTAGTCGTCCGATATATTCCTGATTAAAGGCCAAATACTCAAAGTATTGCGGGCAGGCTATATGCGGCACATTCTGTGCAAAAATCTCTTCGCTTCTGAGCATCAGCAGCAGTCCAGACAGTAGCCATAGTTTTCGCATCTTAGCTTTTGTACTTTCTACTTAATAATAGATAAAGCTAGTTTTCTTGAGCACCTACTTAAAATGACGCACACGCGAATCAACCGAATTGGTAGTGCGCGCAAATTGAATCGCTGTTTTGGAAGCGCAACCGAAACCGCACTCACTAAGCGCCGAACAACGAATGATTGGCTGTATTCGAATGAGCACTCGATTTGAGCGTCGATCTGTGAGTATCAATCGCATATTACTGATTCTAGTGGCGATGCTGCGGCTCGTTGGCAGCGACGCGTGCGAAACTTGATAGCCCCAACAGTATTTGTGCATACTCTTTCTCAAGTGACCAACCTTACTTCGACTATAATCATGCCATCTTCACGAAACTAGGGAAATTGCGTTGAGAAACTAACGCTTTGGTCAAACAGGCAAGTAATTTGTACAATTTATTTAATTAGGCTATAAAAAGAGAATACAAAACACTTTTGTTATGGCTTAAAGCTTTCCTTATAAGTAGAACTGCAATTTCTACTTGATTTGATTTGGTTTTTAAATGTTTACTCTGAATACCACGTTTAATGACTGTAATGGAAACCAACAACCAACTCAAAATTCAGTTGAATAGAAAAGACGAAAAACTTTGTTTTCAACTGAATAAATTGCAACATACAGCCAATAATGTCGTTTGTTACGCAAAACATTATGTTACTTTCATTGAAAAGGAAATGTTTAGATGTAGAAAAAAGATTTTAAAATAAAATGTGTTCTAATCATTTGTTATTTTTGGAGATTTACCATAGTTTCTAAATTTATTAAAAATAAATTAAATATTATTTTTATGTTTAATTTTTTTAGAATACTTTGCGTTTATTTGAAATTCTGAAATTTCTTTATTTTCAACGTCTAACGTATCTGATGATAATTGACTATAAATCGTGATAGATTAGGTTTAATTGTTATAATTTTGCGATTTGTGGTCTCATAAATTGGAATTGCTCTAATGGTTTCATTTTCGGTACGATTTTGCATTACTTTGAAATTTTTAGGAGACTCTGATCAAGTTTTTCAGACATTGATTCATGAACTTGCAAATACTTGCTGTAGAAAGTCATTATAAGACAATTCCATAATTGTTTAATTGTATTTATGTTGGAGTATGTGTCCTAACGACTTCCTTTTTCATTAGAGTCAACAAACTATATTTCCAAGACAAGTGAAATACATACAAATGTAATAAAATAACACAATTTGGCTATTAAAAAAAGCTATCAAAGCTCCAGTAATATCTAAAAATAGGTGTTTTGACTTGATGAAGGAAGTTTGCTTGCCAATCCGGCCATACAAATACAGCCAGGAATGTTATTTATCTTATTGAAATAGGTATTAAAAATTAAAATAATTAAAAATTATTATCATAATACATTTCAAAGAAATTTGCTATTAACAATTGAATTCTTACTATTACAAACGAAATTATTTTCTAAATAATGAGGAATTTATTAGAGGTCATTATTTGTAATTGTTTATTATTTTTTAATTTTTTTTTTACAATTTCTAATTGCTTATTTATTTTATTTATTCTATTGCCCTTAAAGTCAACTATTCTTAAAACTTAAACAAACGCGACTTTGTCCTGCTCTAAAACTTTATTAGAGTCGGATAACAAATTGATTTCCAATACAAATAAGTCCTCCCCCCATTAAAGCGGCAAAGGGATACGGAAAAATTTTCACTTAAGCTGGTTCTCAAGCGATTCTGCATCATAAGAGAATGAATGCATTAGAAAGCTATTTCTAATCTTTTCAAGAATATCAGCATTTAATTTGACTTCTAAATGATTACAACTATGTTATACAAGTAAGCTCTTATGTGTTGACTCAATTAAGTATAATTTTTAGTTTTGTTCTTAAATTTTAATTACCTGTGTAATAATGTTTTGAAAGTGTATTTATACTTTGGCTTTTCTGGGAGCAGGCCGGCTCTTAAGCTCGAATATCTTTAAATACAATTCTTTCTCCAATGCTTAGCATTTTATTTAAATTTGTCATGATTTATTATTAGGAGCGAAAGCGTTAAGTGTGTAGCATGGCGTTGCTGCTTTGCTTTCAAAACAGGAAATATAGCTGATTAAATTTTAGGGTGAGTTTATTATTAAATAGGTATATACTGTCTATATAAAATGTTGCATAATCCAAGCCATATGCTTGGATAGGTCACAGTAGAGCACATATTGATTGAGGTTGCACTGACCCGGTGTTCCGCGCTCTCCCAATGAAACGATGCCGCGCAAGAGCCAACGATTGTTGCGCTTCACCATCAGACCACCACCGGAATCACCCAGACAGGGTCCCGAGTTGTCCAGGTTGCCCGCACAGAGCGTACGATTGGAGGTTTTCGACTGCAACTTCCAGGTGCGTACACAATCTACATCTGAAGCGATGGCCGCTTCGACGACACGTGGAAAGCGGGTCATGGAGTTTCCCCGCTCGTCTGTACCCCAGCCGGCAATGGAGCCTGTTTCAGCAGTGATGACCGTGTCGGTGTCTTGCCAGAGACATATAGGACCAATGACATCATTGAAACTGAAAGTAAAGCCGAAGGTTTAAGCTGACTTCACATTTATAGTATATACAGTAGTACCTGACGGGTCGCTCCAATGTGAGAAGCGCAATGTCCGCATCTGGCACTACAAGAGTTGAGTACTCCGGATGGGTGCGTATATTTGTGACCTCCCGCGGTTCGGCGCCCTCCTCGTAGTAGTTCTCGAGATCGTAACGGCCAAGACCCACCAGCACGCGATCCTCTCTCACCTTATAGACACAGTGTGCGGCTGTAATGACCATGCTGCTGGATATTAGCGAGCCACCGCACTTAAAGGCAAGTGTCAGCGACTCCTTGTGATAGATGGCCGCAAGCCAAGGATACTTTCCACGCGGAAATTGATGTCCGTTTTGTATAAATGGTGTTATAGTTCCCTCCCGACCACAGATGACAGCCAGGGTGGTTTTTCTGATGGGTGGTTGTATCGGTATAGCTGCAATAGTAGGTGGTGGTGGTGGTGGTGCTGCTGCTGGTTCCGCTGGTACTGGTACTGGTAGGGGATTGAAGCGACTTCTTTGGGTATTGGTGAACTGAACCGCACCCGGCGTAACTGCAGTGGTTGGAGGTGGGAGCCAAGACATGCCTGCCTGCTGACATGGGAATGAACATATAGCCCAAGGGTCTAGTGTTGCGGTGGCTGGTGGTGCGTAGACAGGTGGCATGGGTTTTGTTGTTGGAACGGGCAAAACTTCAAAGCCTGCTCCGGGTTTCTGGTCCTGAGTAAAATACAATGTATTCACAACCAAGTTCGGTTGCTCATTGTATACAGGTAGAGTGTTGAAGGATTGTGCTGGAATGCTGTTCTTATGTATCTCATAGAAGCGGTTAAAGAAGCTGTTGGGTCGCTCATCTGTAGGATTTTGAAGCATTCCATCAGTCGGCCAATATTTGTTGAAGGTACTCACATTCATTGCCCGCACACAGTTGTCTGCCATTGAGTTTAAAGACCGTTAACTTGGCCAACGTGCCACTCGCGTCCGGTATGAGTTGCAGGCGAAACTTCACGGCACGCTGAGTGCCAATGGAGTCGCGCACCGTTGCCTCGTCGGGATGGGGCAGCAGTTGGCCGACCACAGATTGCTATGAAATGTGAAGCATTAAGACACAAGGTAAATAAATTTCTAACACAATACGTACATCGGTGACGCCCCGTTGTGAGAAACGCACCTCCAACCGGTTTCGACCAATCGACAATTGCGGCAGCATTATCTCTCCGCGCCACGTGCCGGGCAGATCGCTGACATATTGAAAATACTGAGCACAATTGTTTTCGGGCAACAGCTGAGCATTGCAAGTCCAGCTGATTGTCAACGTCGATGCTAGACTTATAAGCCATTTCATTACCATCATCTGCATGGGAGAGGTTTGTTGAGGAAAGAAATCACTTCCGCCTCAATTAAAGGGAAGATATTTAATTAATTGATTATGAATATGCAATTTAACCGCTGCACATGCGACGACTGCTCGCAAACAAATGAACCTGTTGCACGTCGTCTCAATGCTGGTCAATGCACATTTCATTCGCCTTAGTTGTTCCGAACGTTCTGAGCGTTAATCGCAACAGCGTCTTATGGTAAACAAACTGGAAATTCCGCGCTCCCGAGCCACCGCTAGACGATGTTTATAATAAGCATTGAGACTCACAGAATCTCCAACGCAATTCAAAATGGCGAGCTTTTGCATTGTAAATCTAATTGTGGAAAACCCATCTACACATTATATAATATTGTTGAACTAGGACCCTAAGATACTTATATATTTATATACATATATTTTAATCAAATCTTATGATCGGCTCACGACTGTCAGCTAAGAATCACGGGGAAAAAGTTCGGGCCTGATAGAACTTTATTCGAATTATCTCACAGTTTTACTCTCAATCCAGCTTAAGTGCTGGGAAATATCACAGTAGGATGACGTATCCGAACAGATCGCAGCTGTTGCCCGAGCGCTGGGCAAGAGAGATGATGGCACGCAACATCCACTTCCCACTGTGCTTAATCATGAGTCCAGCTCCCGAATCACCCATGCAAGGACCACATTTCACACAAAGTTCGGATGCGTGTAACACTTCCGCGTCCATAACGATAGCTCCGGTTTCGGGATGCGAACTCAGATCGTGGCAGCCCACATATATTCGCAGCTCCTCGAGTTTCTTTTCCCAGACAATGGGCAGCTGTGCGACCAGAAATGAGCGTAGCCACACATTTGTAGTTCAGGCTGACCTTTTTCGGATCGGGGTCATCATCATGGTAGAGGGCTGCCATCCAAGGAAATCGACCATGCGGTATAGCTTCGCCATCCACCTGCAGGCCAACAAAGCCTTCTACTCCACATTGATGGGATGCTGGGCTATCTTGCGTTATTTTATTAACGGTTATGTTGTGTGATCCACTGGCAGCACCACTCTTTGATTCGCGTCCCCCTCCACTGGCAAATTCACCACTGCTAGGTCTCAGTTCTGTTTTATCCTTGTAGGTTGAGACCGATATATTCAGATACCTCGACATCACAGTCGAAGGCGGATCGTCTGTATGGACAAACGTTAGTCAAGTGGTGGCATATACTTGTATATCTCATAGCATACTCACAGCCCGGACTGTGGCAAAGCTCTTCTCCATTGAGCATTCCAAACGTTAATTTAGGCAGTTCTTCTCCGTAGTTGCGAAAAGGCACTCTCGGCACGTCCATCTTGGAGCATCCGTTGCATCGCCGTTTCGTTGTCTGGATAAGGGTTCAGCTCGCTCGCAACTCTCACAATATTGAACATTCTGGTTACCTTGCCCAGGCCGTGTACCAGAAAACGCACTCTCCAGTTCATGCTCTTGAGGCCATTTCTATGTGGCCTTATTATACCAATCCAGTCATTGCCTTGCCGCTCGTAACAAAACACTTGGGGAAAGTGTCAGAAATAGATATAGCATCCATAAGTTCTGATTCCACATCACGATTACCATTGACTTATTTTAAGCCCTTCTTTACCCTGGTGTGTTTTTTTACTCTCGCTATATGCAGAGAACTAAAAACACCCGATCATCATTCCATTTAATATAATCCCTTATCGTAAACGGCATAATAATCTCTTTGAAGCAACAGCAATTCTCAATACATGTGCTCGAAAGTTTTGTAACAGCAAATGTGCTCTTCTAGAAAGTTTATGATCACATTGAAATAAAATCTAAGTGGAAAAGAGGTTAACAAAATAGCAATCAAATGCCATATGGCTTGCATGAAATGACTAAAATAAATAACACTTACCGATTCAAACATAATTTTTCAAGCAGCCAGTAACTGACTTGGCCACCTCAAGACATTGGATAATGCTGACATATACTTATATCCAATACAAATACACTTCTAAAATATACTATCAGCCATATGGTAGTCAGTAAAAGCATTATCCATGTGGGTTGCTCGTCAGCTGAATATGCACTAAACGTGGTTCGCTGTTTTTGTTGAATGATCAGCGAAAAATAACGACTTGAGAATGCAGCTGAGAGCAACAGCAGCATTACGACTATAATTAGTAAACAAATTTCCGATTCATAGAAAGAGCCATAAATGCATGTCATAACAATCACGCCATTTGAAGCAACAAGTACAAAATAAGTTTAACTTTAATTCTTTATACTGAACTAACTAGTCGCTGTGACTACAATCGCATTTTGTAAAAAAATCAAAGAGACTGAGATTTATTCTGTTACCCAGATATGTTAAATGAACACTTGTATTAGCTCAAATTGGCTAAAGTTACGAGTCCTTTGGAATATGGAAAGGATCCATCCATCGCCGCTGCTTTGTCTAACATTGTTGCAAATTTTCCTTCGAAATAAACAAATAATAAAATCAGATAAGTCGCTGATATTCATCGGCACTGATGGGCTCGGCCGAGAGCTTTGCAACTCAAAAGTGTACTAAATGCAAATATTAAACACAAATATTAAGTCAAGCACAACGAAAAATAAATATTTTGGATGCTCGGCATATTTCAAGAGATTAAGATTATAATTAAATCAGCATTTCTCTCTCTCTCATGCTTTACCTCCCAGTATATTTTCCCCTGCCTGGCTATGCTGATAGCAAGTAAATGGAATCGATGATTGGGCTTTACCCCCAGCAAGATAGTAAACAAATGGCAATTGCCAAATCTTGCCCGGCATATATTGGTTAAAGAGATTCAAATTCCTATTCCATCAGCAGCGCTCTCTCTCTCTCTCTCTCTCACTCTCTCTCTTTTTTCCCTCTGTCTGGCTTTGCTGATAGCAAATAACCGGTTTCAATGTTTGGGCTTTACCCCTAGCAATATAGTAAACAAATGCCACAGACTCTACAATCAAGCAAGCCCGACAGTTTTGATGCACTTTGTTTATATTTTCATATACGAAGATCAAAGTATTGATAGTCATGATCGAAGAGGAAACGAGAAGCTTTTTTAATGAAAATATGAATAATTCGAATATTTTTATGAACAATTATCGTAACAAATTTAATTATATACCTGTATGTACATTTCTGATTATTTAGATAAATTTCAATTCCAAAGTGATTCTATGGCACATGAAAATTGAACGTAGAGGCAAAGAAAATGGAAAGTCCTTATCAGAATCTTTATTTACAACGCAACATATTCATAGGCATTCAAAGACATTAAGCCATATTTAAACGTAAACGCAAATGCAGGCTGCTGATTTATGTCTTTTTAGAGTGTCTCTCGTAGATTTTATTTTTGCATAGTAAGCGCATTATTGGATAACCGTCTGTTTCAGGCTTTCCCAAGCTACTGGCAAAAATCGAATCTGACAAATATCTAAAAGCCGCACTAAAAGCTAATCGTTCATTAAAAATGGTATGGAATATTTTAGGCTGGCATACTAGAGGTGGATCTGGTCAGTCTGATCTGCTGTTCTACGGCTTATTCGGCATCCTACAGCTGAATTTGAATAAGTCTTAAATAAAAGTGAAACAGTTGCACAGGTGTACTTACAACTATAACAAATAGATTTGGAATACATATACAGCTTATATTAACACTTCATTTAAAAAATGTTCTTAGTAAAGGGTAAATATTGGAGTTTTTTATTTTTTTTTATTTATTCTGACAAATTGATAAATTTGAACGGGAACTCCATTAGTCTTTTTGTTTTTTTCCCCATGACCCTTTAGAACCTATTTTCCTCCGAAATGAGATAATGGTGATACCCACACTGTTCTGTATTATTCACTTGCAAAAAGCTGGTTTTATAAAACAAAAACAAGAAATTCAAGCATCATTCTTTTGACAGTTAATAATATTCGAGCATATTCATTTAAGTCAATACTTAAAATGTTTGAATTCTTATGTGGTTCTGCCTGTAAGCTTTAGCGTTGAATGTTTCCGCAACTCTGGTTGTAGCGTCTGTTAAAAAAGTTTTAATGTAATTGGGGGGACATCTCTTTAGCTTGACAATGGAAAGTTAAATTCTTTTTTAATGGTGGAGGGGGTTGTGGCTGTTTTGCAATAACGAAATACATTGTATGTGTACAAGGTGTGTTATAGAAATGTATTGGAAATAATTCTTGCACACAATGCCTTCCAATAATACCACTTGCCAAGAGTTTAGAAAGTGTTTACACAAAATTGTGCAATCTAATGTATTTTTTCTTTTATTTGACTGTTTCACATTTTACCAACTTTTAAAGATTTGTTTCATTAACTATTTTTGAATTGACAGGCGGAAATGTTAAAATCAATAAAATAAAATATCACACATGTATAGCTGTTGATTTTCCCCATCTGTGCGTTTTAATGCCTATTTGATGGAAATAATTAATTCTATCTAACTAATTAACATAATTCGACAGCCTCCGCTGCCTTTTTTTCAACTTTTAAGAAAAAATGAAGATTTTTTGGAACATTTTGATAAAATCATGACATATAAATAATCCAATATATATATATAGTATTTATTTGTTAAAAAATGCTCTTATCGCACAATTTTGCTCTCAATCCATTGAAGATGCTTTGATACATCGCTATAGATGACGTAACCACTCAAGTCACAGGTGTTGCCCAAGCGCTGGGCCGTCGAAACGACAGCTCTAAGGGTCCATTGATTGTTTATTTTGACCATGAGTCCAGCCCCCGAATCACCGGAGCAGGGACCATGCGCATCTTTATTGCCAGCGCAGAGTGTGCGAGAAGTCAAGAAATGAATGGCGGAGATCATTTTCCGTTGACAAGTCTCCCTTGATACAATCTGCATCTCAGCGGACTTGGGAAAGCGTAAGTGATTCTGGTTCTTATCTACTCCCCACCCAACTACAACTGCTTCCTCGAATAAGCTTTCATTGGAGGAAGCTTTCAACGACCACATGCATATGGGACGTACATAGCTAGATATTCTGTAATATCGCACATGAATGATTAGTCTACTAATTAGTCTTGCTGAAAACTTACGTCGCATGAGTGGTGAAGACTAGTATGCCTATGTCCGAATCGGGCACCACATCGCCTATAAAGTCCGGATGTGTATGAACGCTCTGAATTTCCATTAGAACGGCGCCCTCCTCGGGATACGATTCCAGATCATGGCGGCCTACATAGACGCGCATTTCCTCGCGTTTTTTGCCCCAAATGCAATGCGCTGCAGTAACTACTGTGCGGGTCGATACCAGTGTTGTCACACATTTGTAGTTTAGATCAACGACGTACGGATCGGGATTGTCATCGTGGTACAGAGGTGCTACCCAGGGGAAACGCCCTCTTGGCACATTTGTGCCACCAATGAACAGTGCAATAAGACCTTCTTCACCACATTTATCTGCTGGGGGCTGTACACGCGGAGGAGGCCTTACACGGACAATTATTTCTGAAGTTGTCGGTAATCTTCTAATATCCAAGGGTGGTGCCGTTGACATTCCATTTCGAGCACGTAAGCCATAGTAGGAGTAGATCTCCGCTTTCTTTGAGCGTTCGCGATCTATGTGGGTGCAGATGAAGTCGAACCAGCGCCTAGCGCTGGCATAAAAAGTATACAAAATTGAAAATTATGTGTGAGAACGAATGTTGATAGTTAAGAGTTTTGTTAACCCTAAAAAATTTCATCATTTGTTTTAGAACAACGAATGTGTTCTTCTATTAGGAGATTGAATGTTACATCTTCACTATTTCAGACGCAAAAATCCAATCCCAAAGGACATTTTAAAGAAAACAATTTGTGACATCTTACATATTTCAGCTGTGCACATCCGTACGCCATTGAGTTCGGCAAGGACTAATTTTGGCAACTCAACGTTAAAGTTTCGGAAGCGTAAGTACATCTCAACCTGTCCGCCTTTTAAAAGGATTCTAACGGCTGTGGAATCATCAGGGTAGGACAGCACTTCTCCAAAATTAACAGAATCCTGCTCAATTGAAAAGGCCATTTAATTGCCATTATAGAAACCAGGGCTTACCTGATTAGATGCGAGGTAGTTGAAATGTAATCTCCATTCCAATTCTCTAAGGCCATTTGTTGATGCCTTCAAAATACCGATCCAGCTGTCGCCTTGACGCTGATATCGTAAAATATTGCCGCAGTTGTTTGTTGGCAGACGCTGTGCATCTACTCGAGATACCAGACTAATCAGACTAATGAGCACCAGCGATAACGATGCCATCCGCGCACCAAGACTTGATCTGCAAATAGCCATTGATTTGCTTCCCTATGTAGCTCTGGTCGGTGCCGATTTCATCTCTACTCGGTGTGAACCGAACGTGTACTAAAAACACAACAGCATACAAGTATTGCAAATCAGTAGCCGATCACCTAACACTGTAGAGCCGAAGGTAATACCCATAATGTGAGAGTTCTACAACATCAATCCGGCGTTCGTTGTCTGTTTTGTTCAGATGATAGCCGCGCCTCTATCAGCTGATGTATAATTTCAATACCACTTTGTTTATGTTTTTTCACCTCTCAGCTGCGAATTAATATGTTTTCTCTGAGCACAGGCAACAAACTTGTTTGGTGAGAGAGAAAAAATAAAACAAATATAGGAAAACAAAACAATAGCCCTCACTTTGCTCTGAGAATGAAAAAGAATAAGTCTGTCCCCTCATCCTCCCCTGGGCGAAGTCGCCTCCGATTCTGCCACCAAGACTGGCAGACAATAACCAAGTTTGCAGAGAATGCTCGGCTTATTAGATGAAAAGTTCGAATTTTTGCGGCAACTTTTAATAATGTAATGTAATATAATGTAATGCAGTGTAATGTTATAGTAATGTATAAAAAATTATGTGTATAAAACGCCCTTCAATACTACCATCTTAGCATCGACCGCTTTGCAAAAACTTTTAACACCAAAACACACTCGAACTTTTGCACGCTCGAGGTGCACTCTTATGGCGATTGTTGTTGTTGCCGTTCCGACTGTTTTCAGGAGACTTTTTGTTTCCAAACTTTTATAATCAGTTCGAGTTTGCGCAAGCTTTGTTATAATTTTGTGCGATTTGGCGTAAATTTAATTTTCTTCGCCAAATAAAATAATGAATTACGAGTACGAGTATGTTGGTAAGTATTTTCACTTTGCCCATACAAAATATTTACACGTATATTTTTAAAGACCTCCTAGACTTTAAGCGACAACTTTGTGAAAATTGTATACGCTACTTAATTTTAACATCGTTGTTATCTTAGCATTAGCATTTAAATATTTAGCAAAACGATTGGGCAGCAGCTCCCATTTAATGTCACTGAAGCTTAAAGCATCGAATATTTCATCAAAAAGCGTTGCATTCCTTATACTAATTCATGGATGATGTTAAAAAGTTATTAAATTATTTAATTTTCAAATTGTTGTACATTAGCTTCAACGACAACATGTACTATTATTAAAATAATTATGCATCAATGAATGAATAAACTTGTTACACACGTTTTTAAAACTGTTGGTTATTAGGAATGCTCTTTCATTCGAAACTGATCTCATTATTGCTTTGACTGTAGAGTCGCGCTAATTTTGCAAAAATAGTGATGTCATATCAGATCACAAACTCTATGATTGGCTTTCTGAATTCTTACTTCATAAGTTCACTCCATTTGTTGACTTTTTTTAAAAGTCAAATGCCCTATTTGTAGGTTTCCTGAAAACATTTATATTAGCCTTGAAACCTTTTTTATATAATTTAGATTCATGCGAACCGATACCCTTCAGGTACATAAAAATCAACTCAAAATTTTTAACGATCAATGGTTCACTTCTCATTTTATTTTTTCACTAATAATGTAGATTGTTCCTATCTGCCTCTTACTTTTAAAGCTCTGCATGGTCACCAAATTAACTTCCATGCATCTTTCCTTAAACTATCACAATTGGCGTGGATCTACTAAAATATAAGGGAAACGAAAACAGACAGCCCCCAAATTTTAAATATTCAAGTATTCAAGTTCAAGCCAATCAAACTGTCGAGTCCCCTTCGGTATAGAAACCAAGATGTTGGCAAATTAGGACCATCACTCTACTGCCGTCTACGAGACTGATGCACTTGAAATCAAAATGCAAGCACACGAATAATTTTCTACTAAATAGATGCATTATTATGCAAAACTTGGGGCCAGCCGCTTAATTAGCCTACATACTTAGCCTACGGACTATCGAGCTGGTGGTTTAATGGCAAAGTGTGTGTATGTTTTGGTTGAAGACTCTTTGTATATATTAAATGCATCACGTATACGCCACGTGCACACATCAACGCCTGCTGTCTGACCCTGCGCATCAATGCGATGCGCAACAATTTCATTTTATTATCAACGCATAAATCAGCTGCGGCTGGATTACCCCCCTCTCCTCGTTAGGAAATAGCCCCGAAAAGAAATGTCGCACACTTTCCTATACATTTTCCCTTGTTTATTTTGTATAAAATTTATGCGCACACACAGCAACAAAAACAGCAACGGCAAGCAACAATCTTCGTAAATTTTATGCCAAATTTGTCGTAGGTAGCCTCCATTTTTATGTGAGCCCAAGCTGCATTTCATTCGCCTTGTTTCGAGCAGCGTTTTACGCCATTTTATTCTTTTCGACTGTACATACAAACTTACTACATACACATAAATTTGGGTAAGTGTGTTTAACAGACGGCATACAAAGGCAAGAATTTCGGAAGCAATGGCGATGACAGCACCAGCGGAACTTGCAGGCTCATTAGCTTTAACGACCAGATGCAGTCGAACATTTGATTTTATTGCCCCGAACGATGATGAACGAATTGATCGGGATGGGTGGTCGGACAACTGATGCTGAGCTGCATGTCTCGAATTGATAACAAATGCGCATTTAAATGCATTTAATTTGGCAAACGTAACGTTCCAAAGGCCGCCGCCCATTACGCATACGCCACGCGTTCCACACACAAACATGTGCTGCGCACGTGTAAGAGTGTGTGCGATACATTTTCATAAATCAATTGTGCGTGCTACTTTTAACGCGTACCCGACTGACTGCCCACCCTATCAACATCGAGCATCCAACAAATCCAATTCAAAATCAAACCCAAATCATTTTTGGGTTTTCCTCTGGCCCCATTTTGTGCCCAATGGTGAGAGATTGTCAGCTTGTGTGGATGTATGTTGAAATTATTTTAAGTTTGCCACAGAAGAAAAATGAATGGGAAAACAAGAAAAATTGAGTGACGAATGCTTATTTTACGCTTCAATTTTCAACAACTTATTGCAAATGCGATTTCTTGTTCACGTTGCGTTTTATTCTGATTTTGTTGGCAACCGGTGTGAAAATTTGATTTGTGCCCATGCCCTCCAGCAATAGCTGTCGTTTCATTTAATTCGGTGCAGAGGTTTTTCATTCCTTCTCCATGCTTTTCCTTTGTTTTGAAGACACATACTTGGGTATGTAGTGAATGGAAGATTTATGGAGGGACTGAACAAGCCACGCCCTTTTGGCTATTAAACATTCTACACGTGTGTGCTATGAAGATGTGAACTAATAGCAGGGGAGTGTTTTCGAGTTTAAAACAGGTAGATTTAAATTATAAAAATATATTGAACGAAATTTAAATACAGATCATTAGAATAATAAAACTTGTTCAAAAAACGATAGCGTTTCATGAAGGGGTCCTCGCGATCAGAATATGCAATAGACCCAAGCAAATAATTACAAAAAGTATGCTAACATTTTCTGTCGCAGCAGGGCAAATCGGTTATTCAGCTATCTTTAAACTCAAAAACTGTGCACAGTTTTAAAGCTTAAGATCTAATAATTTTAAGTTAAGTTTTTAAAGCCCGCATTCACTCTTGGCAGAACACACTTTTTGTTTATAACACATCATATCAATTGGACATTCCTGTTTAGATTCGAAAACAATGATTTCGCTTCCCAACTTTCAGTTTGCTGAACCAGACCTTCAATTTAAAGATACTGACTTCCAATCTGGAGAATACATTTGGTCATCCCAGCTTTCATTCGAAAACAATGATTCCACTTCGAGTTTGCTAAACCAGACCTTCACTTAAAAGATATTGACTTCCAATTTGGAGAATACTATATCAAGTTTGATGAGTGTAGCTTTAACTTTGGAAACGTCGACTTCCAGTTTTAGGACCCTTACTACCAGCATAGGGGGATCGACTTGTAAAAACTCAAAACACAGTCCAGCAGGGCGACATTAAGGCAACTGCCTGGGGGTTAAGAGCAATGTCAACAAGTGTAAGTGTGCCTGTTATATTCGTCTGTATATTTTATTGAGGCACTTAAAAGGGGGAACCAACAGACTAAGAATACGCTGCAAAAAGCGTCGTCTGCTGCCTTAAGCAACTCCAACGCAACAAAACACAACATAAAAAGAAAGGCAAATAACAAAAAGCAAGCGATGGAAATATGAATCCAAAAAGAAATGAAACTGCAAGCGTATTGACATAAAAGCCAATCATTTTAAAATAGCTTAAAGCAGTAGCCACACGGCGGCAACTACTTGTACAACAGCGGCGGAAGTGGCCCAGTGGCCGTTGTCACAACAACCTCAACACAAATGGAAGCCAACAGCGTCGAGCGAGACAGGGAAAAATCCTTCGGAGAGCATCGAAAGTCGTTGTCCACAGTACGAAAAAATAAACAAAATATCATCATAAGACCACAATGCGCGAATAGCAACTCGCAGCTACCAACCAACTTTCTGCCAAATTGCCGCTGACAGTATGAGCCAAAAGTTTATTCAGTTATGTGCATTGGTATGAAAACCACAGCTTGTTGGCTACTCGCTTGGCTGACATTTGGCATAGATTGGCTTGCAGCATTTTTAATGCAGCTACGCAACCGCAAAGTCGTGCACTTTGTCCGCTTTGCGCCTTTTTGGAGCTGCGCATTTTGCTGCTTGCATAAATAATCAAACGGCAGCTTTTGCAAGCGAAATGTGAAATTTTAAATGTGCCAGTTCATTGGAAATGCAAAAAGGCCACCACAGACGCAGCTACGCCAACACAGTTGCTAACGTTGCCAGCGAATACGAAATCAATCAAATTATCATTCAAGTGTAAGCGCATGATTGATGTATGCACAACAGCCCGTGGCATCAATCATTGAAGAGTAGTGCGTCAATTTTCTAAAGCAAAGTCAACATCATGCCACAAATAGATAAGTTATAGCTGTACTCGAGTGCATATGTTTAAGCAGCAGCTCAATCTTTTGACAGGCCCGTCAAATGAGCACAAGCTACTCATATTTATGAAAGCTGCAAAT